AGTTTTTAGAAATGCTAGCAGGACTCAAATTACCCCTGTAAATTGCATTAGCACATATATTAATGGTTTCTTGAAGAAGCAAATTGGTATACAGGGTGACGATATCAAAAGACACCACCATGTTATTTTCCGAATCAATTTCTAAATTTCGAATGAAATTTGAAAACCGGAAAGAATCAGAAATATTATGTGCTAAAAAAGATCAGATACCGTTCAGTAGTTCAAGCAACCATTTGGCCAACTTTTGCTGCACAGATCCTATCATAGATAAAAATAGGTCTAAGTGGTACACCAGTTTTATGCACCTTTGGTAGTCGATACATTTTAGGCCGTTGTGAACTGACAGGTCTAACCCTATCATAAACATCCTTGGAGATTAGGTTGTTCTTGTACACTGAAAGCAACCATCTCTGTGTTCTCGCTTCAGCCTTACTAGTATTATCACACGTGCAGGACCAATCCTCTTAAACTTGGAGGAATCATTCAAAATAAAAGCCATATTATCAATATAACGTTGCCTGCTTAAGATGACAAAATGATGATAGCAAATATATATATATATATATATATATATATATATATATATATATATATATATATGCATGTTTCATTAAAACGACGGACAACGTACTACGGTTAAGCTTTTTATTTAATTTTTCTTGTGTTCGAACAAGAGCTTTCTTTTCTGGACAGAGTTTGTGTGTGTCGTGTTGTGTCGGAATAGGCTTAGCATCAAGTTCACACCAGGCTTGAAGAAAACCAGGTTCACCAGAGGGTTGACCTGGGGGTCCGTGTCAACAAACCAGCAAATGCAAAAGCGCCTGACCTCACATCTGCAGCCTGTATTGCAAGCATGAGATCGTGAATGTTTGGCAGATGCATACAAACGGTGCTATGGATAAATCGTCGTCTAAATTACGCAGAAATAAAAAGTGACACTGAATTACCATTATAAAAGATATATTTACCAAAATTACATAAAAAATATCTTCAAATACAAAAGAGAAAATTAATTCAATAAAATTGCCATTGCCTTTACCCAGGGCCTCCAGATGACTGCAACTCTTCTGGAAGGTCTCCTTGTTTAAACTGATGATTGCTGCCATAATCCTGGCATTCAATTCATATTTGGTGTTACAAGGAGTTCTATTACTCTCTCGCTCAACTGTGCCCCACACATAATAATAAAGGGGTTTCCGTATGGGGAGTTAGGTGTCCAGATGTAAGAGTAATGAAATTGTTTGACAATTATAACTGGGTACACCTGCTTGTCTAGTATGGTGCAGAGTACTGTTGCCAGACATAGAGGCTTCCAGGGTAGCACTACCTCCTCGTGGCACTTGATGTAGAATTGAGTCTGGATTGAGTCTGTGTCCCTGCGGAAAGATGAATGTAGGCATAACGTCGCCATCACTAGTGATAACTCCATACATCTTCATAATCAGCATTAGACTCATCCAACTCTTTCTGAATTCTCAGCACTCTCCTCAGATTGACAACCAAACTCACAGAAATGTCCGTATTAGAGCTTCCGGGGAGAATGCCAAGTAGTACAGCATGCCGTTTCCAAATTTCTGGCGGAGTGAATTGCGTCATGGTGGTCTTTTCCTCACAGTCGGTGCCTGACTGAACCTTCTATACTGTGCCGACGACAAAATCAAAAGTAAACAACGCGCATGCACGGAATTAAAAAAAAAATAATGTGGTGACAATTTACCCATCGCACCATATATAAAAAGAGCCACACAGTTGATTTCGTCAGTCTCTCACACATCGTGGACAGAGGATGTAGGGTGCGCATGTCGGAACGGGATGTAGGGTTACGATGAGGGCCGCTTCCCGCCCTACTAGCCGATATTAACTAGGGGATCTTAGTCTTATTGTAGACAGATTCCGGAAGAAACTAACTTGGTTAGAGAAAAGCTCTTTTCAATAAGGAGAGCAAGGAGATATTTTTAAGCGCTTTTTTCTCATTATGTCTTTGTTGGATGTTTATTATTTAAAGCCGGCTTGAACATTTAATTTATTACTTTCCTTACAGCTAATTATCAAGTCCTCCAAGTAAAATTAGCCGCTTATAATATAGGTGTAAGGGCAACGATGAAATCAGCCGTTTCCTAATAAGGAAATATTCTGTGTTCATTGAACGAACAGTTAGTGTTATTATCAGTTGATATTTATAAAGTATTTTCTTAAAATAATTTTTCGGGAAAATAGACTTCTCATGTTCATTGTTATTTCATTTTTTAATATTGATAGGGATTTCCTCCCTAAACTTTTGTTTACGGCAGTGTGGAAAGCCAACATCTTAACTATATCATTATTTACCACAGGATATATAACAAAATGACAAAATTCATTAAGAACTACAAAGGGCATGGAATTCTGGAGAGGCATGATCGCCAACGTCCCGAAAGGACACGACAGATAGATGTTACATGTGCTACCCATCTTTGCTTTTGTTGTTATTGAAAGTTTTTAAGTGGTGTTTTTTATCATTTGTAATATTGTATTGCCTGTCTCTAGAGTCCGATGAAATATATTCATTCTTTAGTTTTAACTACTAAGTTTCAAATTAGTTAAAGTATAACCTTTTACCTTAAAATCATATTATGTGTGTGAGTGCTAAAATCTTTTCAAGCTGATCTACTTCCTATAGTCTAAGCAAATGACTAAACATTTTCGCTTTTAAATAACTTATTGATCAGGCTGAGGACTTCTTAAGTACGTAATTTGTAAGGTCATTCTCTGTTTGTCTTCTGTCGTGTACATCCTGCCAACCGCGAACATTTGAGGCCTGTTTTCTTTCCTTTAATCCCCCAAACTTTAAGCGAATAGATGCTATTTCTAGTATCCTTATTTATTGGACTTTTTTAACTTAAATCTAAAATTTTAAATTGATTATTCGTTTTCTACGGCTTATCAAACCACTGCATAATTTTTCTATATCTTGTCTATATTGTGAGAATTCTTTTTCTTTTATTTATTTTTCGATAAAGGTTTAGCGATACAAGTATTACCAATGGGTGGGGAAATAGTTGGATTCATGCCTTTCCCAAGAGTATTTGCACAGAAGTGAATATAAAGAATACAACGGGAATTCGAACGCTGATCTCCGATTAACAATTCCGGATCTTTAACTATTACTCCACCCGCGCACCCAAGCTTAGAGCCCCTGCTATTCACAAGCGGTGACTCGTCCAGGCAGTGACCAGGCTCAATGTTGCTTAACTTTGGCGATCTTACGGGAACCGGTGTTTCAAGGTGATGCGACCGAAAGCCGTAATATTTTGGCTTCTATGAAAAATACAGAATTTCTGTCTATGCAAAATAAAGCAAGAATAAATATACATTCAGTTTGCAGGCAAAGGAGATAATGCCCATGAATACACACCAAGCCCGCCATGACCCTGGAATATCGTTCCATCCAACGTGACCCTTGTTCTATGCAAAATGAATGATGGACTTGCTAAATCAGCCCACCTTTTAGTTAACTTTGGCGACCTCAATATATTTATCAACACTTAAAGGCGAAATAATCGCAACCACAAGGTTCCCAAACCCATGATGCGGTGAGGACAGTTCAGTGCCCCACACAGCCAGAGAATCGATCATAAAACACCGAGTCATCCGTTTCAGCAACGCTGCTTCGAAAATGGCGGTTGCCTCTGCTGTCGAAGCTTTTTAGAAATATTGGCGAAAAGCATGGTCAGTTGTGGTGACTATATGAAAAAATAGTGTTTTGCTGTCCAACTGTTTCGTTAAACTCCCTGTGTCTGTGGTAGTTCCTATAAAAACAAATGGGGGGGGGATAAGTAACGGAAATTACACTGAAAAGATAAAAAATATATTCTATTCGAAAAGAGTGTCAAAAGAGTCACACTTTTATTTTAGAATCCGTTTTACATATGTATAAGTCTCCCATACTTAGAATATTACTGCCACATATAGTCCAGTACACCTGCTATTTACCTTGAGCTCCTTGATAAAATCCAAAGAAGAATAAGAAATATTATTGGTCCTGATGTGGCATCTCGGCTTCAGTCATTTTTCCACCACCCTAAGGTTGCCTCTTTATGTCTTTCCTATTTAATAATTCCATTGTAATTGTTCGGATGAGCTCTTTGTAAAGCTACCTTGACTTCTTGACTTTAAGCGCAGGACTAGACTGGCGTCGAGATCTCATCAGTTTACAGCTGAGCTTGCTAGATATCGTAACTTCTATGCTAAAAGTTTATTTTCTCGCAACTCTCGCTTGTGGAACTCCCTTCCGGCTCCATGCTTTCCAGTCAACATAATCTGCAAAAATTTAAATGTAATATCAATCGCTATCTACTGTTCTCCTGATTACTCATTTTTTTCCCCGCTCATTAGTAATGATTCTGTTCCTAATTCTTCCACACCCTGTAACCCCTTTGTGTCTTAGTGGCTTTATTGCCTTGCATGGAGTGATACCGATTAAGAAAAAAAATCGTGATTCGCAAAGTAATTCTCAGCTTAACATGGTTTGGATACAAGTCAAGAAGACATAGAAACCTTTTATGATATTCTTATGAACATAATAAGTCTCCTGAAATAACCGTATAAATCTAATAAACTTCATAAGATAACATTATAAATGTAATTTTAAAAACCTCACAAAATAATATTTGATCAATAACATTACAAATCGCTTAAAATAATGTTATATAAGTAAGACCGTAAATCTCATAAAATATGTTTATAAAAATTATATTTTTGAATTACGATGGAAACTTGATATATTTGGGAAAAAAGTGGAATAATCGGTAATATTTACAGGAAAATGGACAAAATAAATTGAGTAAGAACATATATAGAAAGAGAATTAAGAAAATGATGCTCACCAGATTTAGCATTTACAGCGAGGCGATCCTAAGACAATTACTAGCCTTACCAGGATTTATTATTGGTTGGCACAGTCTTAACAACACAAGATACGCATATAAGACCATGCTAGCTATAAAAACTTATAGAAGGCTTATGTCCATATCACGTCGAAACACCGGTTCCCGTACGATCACCGAAGTTAAGCAACGTCGAGTCTAGTCAGTACCTAGATGGATGACCACTTGGTAATTCTAGGTACTGTGAGCTTGGTCGTGTGTGACGTGTGATGGAAAACGGCTTGAGAGCCGAATTCCAATTCCAATTGTGTTAGTTATATTTACTGACGCTCAAATATCCTTAGGAAAGGTAGGGATCTAACTCTTCTCCCCACCCTGTTACTGATTAATTGGTAAGACTTGTACCAATAAACCATGATTGACTCCAAAAGTATCTTGCCATCTAAATTATTTTCTGGAGTTAAATAATCTGCAGAAGTATCTGAGATGATGTATTATGTACACTATTTACATTATTCGGACTATTGTCCTCATCTTACATGCCATATTTATCACAACGTTTCGGCCGTTGTACGCTCCGGCTTTCTTCAGCTGGTTGGAATGTCGAACTGATGTCAGTTATTAGTTATCTCCTATTAATTCATCTCTCCAAGTTCTACACCGCCTTAAACAGGTATTGAACTCACAATTCTTTGGGTCCTGTCACTGGATCTAACCGACGCTTTTATCCACTGTGCTATGTGTCCTTGAGGACATCTGTGTATGAATTTCTTAATGTCTTCAGCAACAATTTTTACAAGTGCTCATATTGCAATTTTCGCTGTTATCATTTCATTTTTTTACCAGAGCTCATATTGCAATTTTCTTTATTATTGCTCTTTTCTGGCACTCCTTAATCCTGGGTCCCATATTGTATTTATTTCTATGCTTAGTCAGCTCAGGAGATTTTTGTGACCTAGCTTATGTGCCGATTCCTTAAGATTACGAATTTTCCAATGATGTTCTTTGTCTATGATTTCAACCTGATCCTACAGATGTCGGTGATCTTCCTTTTCTCTTCATATCTGCAAAAGGTTGATGAACCGTAAAGAAATAACAAATCAATCAATCAAATGCAGAAAGAAAAGTGCAGGAACTTCAAAATAAGTTACTAAAGAAAAGTATGGATAAAGAATAAACAATCAATTTTTATGGTGGTCAGCAAGAGAAATAGAACAAGTTATGAGCTACGGATTGGAAAAGTCAGAATCAAGTAAAGAAACTGGAAGTTTTTTGGGTATTTTTTTAACAGACGACACACAATTCTGAAGGTTTACTGGAATAGCAAAAATATCTTCCAGAATCTAAAGAAAGGAGCAGAAAATTTCCGTTAGAAACAAAGAAAGAGATCCAAACATCTAATGTAATAATTAGTTAAGCACCATACGTGATATACGATTGGACGAACATCTCTCTTTCGATTCGTGACTGATTAGGCAGAGGATTTTCCCACAGTAGGCTGCCGTTTCTTTCTGCGGTAGGCTGGCTGCCAACAAGGGCTATAGGACCCAGTCAGTCCTGCTATTCGACGCCTAGCTGAAATGGGTTCATATCTTTCTCAAAGTTCATTACTCGTAAATGAATGTGACGAACCCAACTGGAATTCGAACTCGGCTCTACGATTTCCCATTCCCTGCCGTTATTCATAACACCATAACGCATATTGCATTATTTAATGTATGGGCTGATAACATTCGTTCGTACCCTGATTACTAAATCTAAAAAAAAAGGCTCTTTGCATTCAGCTGTTACACAAGGCTTTCTAATATAATGTTGAAACAAGACTTTCTAACATAATGTTGAAACTGTATCTGTCTATATTTCTGAGATGAGGTATTATGTACACTATTTACATTATTCAGACTATTATCCTCATCTTTGTCGCCTTAAGGTAAGGCTTCAAGAACACCAGAAAGCTGTAACACGAGGGGATATGGAAAAATCAGGCGTGGCTGACCACATATGGAGAGAGAAGAGAGATCACCGCTCTCTGTGTGATCAGGTTGGGATCATAAACAAAGAACACAATTGGAAAATTCGTAAACTCAAGGAATCTGCACATATGCTAAGCCACAAAAATCTCCTGAGCCGACCAAGCCTAGAAATGAATACAATATGAGAACCTGTAATAAGGGGTGCCAGAGAAAAGCGATAATCACAACAAAAAATTGCAATATGAGCTCTAGTAAAAACATGAAATGATACCCAGAAATTCAAGGACACATGGCACAGTGGATAAAGGAGTTGGTTAGATCCAGTGGCAGAACCCAAAGAGTTGTGAGTTCAATACCCGGTTAAGAGAACTTTCAGAGGAGTATTAATAGTGGAGAACTTTCAGAGGGAAATTAACAGGAAATAACTGATAACTAACATCCATTAAACATGGCACGTGGAACTAGAACAGTCTACCCCAGTTAGCGAAATAAAGGGTTCGGTTCGACATTCCAACCACCTGAAGAAGGCCAGAGCGTACAACGGCCGAAACGTTGTAATAAATATGGCGACAAAGATGAGGACAATAGTCCGAATAATGTAAATAATGTTGAAACAGTTTTGCGATCTTTACATTGATTAGTACCGAGCCTACTTGGTGTTATCAATTAGAATTCAGTTATTATGTGAGGTCTTATTACGTGTTGGAATGAGATCTTTACGATGACTGACAACTTTCGGATAATGCAACCCTGGGTCTGCAGATTTGCTACTCAGACCCGTGAAATGTTTCATGAGGTTTCTCGTGAACATTTTAGGTCAATAACAGGTTTTTTGAGTGGCATTCGTATTTCAAAGCTGTCAAAGCAGGGTTGGTACAAAATTTTGAATATTCAGGATGACCAGCTACAAGTGAAAGAGCAGAGAATAGAAAAAGATAGCATGAATATATCCATGGGAATTGTCGCTGAACAATCCAGCCTGACGCAGTATAAAATCTGACACTCATATCTGACTGGAAATCAAACTCTAATGTCCGATTTCTCATGCCGAGCTAGTATCCATGACACCAACCCGAATCAGTCCTATATGGAACTTAATGTTTGAAAACTTCCTCACAAATAAAAACGATACTTGACGCAACAAAGATGTGGTTCTACAGAAGGATGATGAGAATGTTATGGGCGGAATAGTTAAGCAACGAAGCTGTTTGAGGGAAGATTGGAAGACAATGGACACTTTTCATTACAATTAGGGACAATTGAAAAGCATGGAAAACATAATGAGGAAATGAGGCTTGTGGAATTTGATACGATGCCCTTGAAGGCAATTGAATCAGAGAGAATCATCGAATAATCTGTGCAATGATGGTAGAATAGGACCAAACATTATTTAAAGCAACTTCTGATGGGAAGTCATGGAGAGCCGTATTCTCGCACATCATGAAAAAACATGGCGCATAAAACAAGATGTTATAAACATCATAAAATAACTATATAAATTAAGTACACGTTTATTTTATGAAGTTCTCTATGGTTATACTGCTAGTCTGTGGTTATGTTAATAGGGAAAATAAGCGGTTTCCATATAAGAAATGTTCAACATTCATTGAGAAAATAGCATTACTGTCTGTTGAAATATACAAAATATTTTCTTAAAGCAGTTATTTCATTAAAACTGACTTCTCAAGCCCACTGTTACCGCTCTTTCTAGTACTGATGGGAATTTCCTTACTAACCTTTTGTTTACGGTTGTGTGGAAAATCATAATCTAGAGGATATCATTACTTTTCATTCTCGTCGCATGTGCTATCCATTTAATCTGTTGTTGCCATTAGATGTCTTCAAGTGATGTGGTTTCTGCTATTTAGTAAAGTTTGTGATTCGTTAGCAAAAGTCTATAGAGTCTGACGAACGACTGTCTTCTTTAGAACTCGAGATTTTCTTACCATCCATCCAATGAGTCAGGTTTTGTGACACATGGTCGACTTTTAACGTGGTGGCCCGAGTTTTTTCACTGGGGTCGCTGGTCTAAGCTGGTCTTAGCTGGTCAAATCTTGTCTAAACTAGTCATAGCCGGTCATACCAACGCTACGTAACAGATGTCACGCAACGGTAGTGGGGAAGGTAAGGGAGGAGAGAAGGCCTCCGGCACGGAAGAGATACTACATCTGCAGGATCCATCCCGACGAGAAAAAAACATCTTCTATTCTTCTGCCAGTCCTCTCAGAAGAATCCGGGATGGGTGAAGCCCCGCTGAAGGGAGGAGTAGCCCCTTTCTTTAGAGCTTAAATGATTCGTTCACTTTGGGCTATTTTTAATCATTGATCTGAGAAAATGGTTATATTTTTTTTTTTTTTTTTTTAAAGCATTACGCCCCGAGCAAGGCGTGAAGCCACTAGGAGGCAGGGGGTTGCAGAAGATTTGGAGCAAGAGCTGATAGGAGTGATAGAAAGGGTGAGGAGAGGGATAGTAGATAGATCAAGGTAACTGGAGATGTCGATTGACATTACATTTGAATAGTTGGAGATTATAGCTCTCAGGGAAACAGTAATTGGGAAGTGTGTTCCACAGGCGAGAGGTGGGATATATGAAGCTATTGGAGTAGAAGAGACGGCTACATTTAAAAGTTTCTACAGTGTAAGGGTGGGAGCGGGATGCCAGCCTCGTAGGGCGCTTGAATTCATGGAGTCTGGGAACCAGTGAAAGCAGCTCATCCGAGCAATTACGATGAAAGTATTTGTAGAAAAGACAGGGAGAGGCGACGGCGCGTCTGTGGGAGAGTGACTGTAGACGAGATGCCAGATCAGGGCCAATTATATTACATATCTGTCTCTAGATCTTGTCAAGAACTCCGAGGTAAACAGAAGGTGCCCCAGACCATATATGGCAGCAATACTCCATGCAAGGGCGAATGGTTGTTTTGTATATTTGAAGTATCGATTCCGGGGAGAAGAATTTCCTGGTGCGGCACAGAGAGCCAACTTTCCTCGCGGTGGAAGAAGCAATTGACTCAATACATGACACCTATATGAGATTCTAGATCTGACGAGGCTATTTAAGAACATGTCTAGAGTTCACAGGTTGATATTTTGGTTTTAAAACATCTTACGATGTTGGACAAAAGAACCTCGAACGCAACATATTCTTTGTTGGATTTGATGACATGATATGTCAGTGAAATTCATTCATTTGTTCGAAGTGCGTTTTCTCAATAGCAAAATGGGGGAAAATGATGAAGACGTCACTTTAAATATTTTCATAGATAGGCTAAGCT